CAGAAGACCAGTCGGTATATTGAATATAGGAAGAAGGTTCAAAGCTCCTCCCAAACAAGCTCAAAATTGTGATATTCCCTCTGATGAAGACGCTGATCAGGGTGAAGAAGACAAGAGTGTGAAGGCTGGGAGAGGAAGCAACCTTGGTTTTGGCCAAGATTCTGATGAAGAAAACTATTCTATTGAACATTATCCTCCCACTGATAAAAAATACAAGCGGCTGGAAGATCGTCTGAATGCCATGGAAATCCAAAGAGTATCTGGGTTGGATTTTGAGGAGATGGGATTAGTCTCGGGGGTTGTGATCCCTCACAAATTCAAGATCCCTAATTTTTCTAAATATGATGGTGTTTCCTGTCCTAAACTATATTTAAGGTCTTACGTTCAGAAGATCCAACCTCATATTGCTGATAGGAAGTTATGGGTACACTTCTTTCAAGAGAGATTATCGGGGACACAATTAGAATGGTTCTATCAACTGGAAGGAACCAACATCCATACTTGGGAAGACTTGGCTGCTTCCTTTTATAAACAATACCAATACAATGCTGATCTTGCACCAACCGGTGTGCAATTACAAAGTATGACTATGGGCTCTCACGAAGGCTTTAAGGAGTATGCCCAGAAGTGGAGAGATTTAGCAGGAAGAGTTCAGCCTTCTCTGTCTGACAGGGAGCTGGTTGATATGTTTACGGGAACTTTGACAGGGCCTTTCTTTAATCATCTTATCGGAAGCTCTTCATCTGGTTTTATCGAGTTAATACTTTTATACCCCAATTTTTGCCCCTAAGATCCCTCATCACATCATATACATCTCATGCATATCATTGGATCCATGCTCGTGGGATCAAGGTGTTGTATCCAAAAATTGACCCTCTCATTTCTCAAAGGATCACCCTGGACCCTCAGGTTTGCTTCCATCCAATTCCAAGCCTTGAATTACAAATTTTCCAAGAAAGTCATTCACAAGGGCAAAATGGTCATTTGCACACTGAAAAGTCAAACTTTGAATTTTGGATCAAAATCAAGTTTCAAGGATCATATTTCATCAAGACATGTTGAAATATGAAGTTTGTTTCATCAAGAAATTCAAAAGTCAAAATTACTTTGGAAAAGTCAAATTTCTAAATACTTAGAATTTTTCTAAGTTGTTTAAGAAATATGACAAGCTCAGAACTTCTGATCAGATTATCACCATGATGCAAGATGATTCTTGAATAACTTCTAACACAAGAGTTGTGGATCTCAATGAGATCTCAAATATTGCAGAACATAACTTCTCCTGGAAAGGCTGGAATTTCAAGTTATACATCTTCAAAGTCACGTCCATGAAACTGAAGCACTCAGCAAATTCTGGATATTTTCAAGTCAGAAGTTGTCTACAACTTCTAGGCCAGTTTTCACATAGGTTCAGTCAGAAGTTGCAAGAGCAATTCAAAGAGGACTTACAAAGCATATCACAAGATTTCTGGAAAGTCTGAGAACTCGCTCAAAACATGCTGGATCAAAGGGATTAAAGGACCAGAAGTTGGATATTGATTCTAAGTTGCGCTGATGCTGAACTTCTAACCCAGACTTAGGCTATGATGCACAATCTCATAGCGCAGGATTTCTAGTTGGATAAATCTCATCATCATTTAATTCTCACAACCACTTTTGAGTTTTTATCCAAAGTATTTCCCCACGTGTGAGATAGAAGTACCATTGTTGTCCTTGAAAAAACAAACTTTTGTACAAGGTTATGCTAGGCCCATGCTTTGCTTTTGCCTATGAGGGTACTTTTCCTTATTTCATGCTTACAAATCCAGCTTAGACACGGCTAAAAGCTGCTAACCACCATACTTGCTTCAATAACAAGGCAACACCCTAGCATGTGAAAGCTATGTTCAACGCTTCGGTCAGAACATCACCAAATCCCAAAACCTCGTTTATACAACCTGCTGCACTGCTACAGCATAATCCTATAACCAACAGCTAATTCAGTCCATGCCTGCATCCCATAATTGCACCAAACTAGAATACGAAAACTATGATCAAAAAGCAATGGAACAGGATGCCAAAAAATGTTCAAATCCCATTTGCCCCCCCCCCCCCCCCAAAAAACCACAACAAATTCACCTATAAATAAGTTGCTCCATCACACTTTCAAGGGGATGACTTTTAGAGAAAGAGAGATAATTATAAATGAGAGAAAAGGAAAAAACAAAAACCTTTGCAAATACTAAACAAAACCTTTGTTCTTCTCTTTGAATCAAAGAACATAACCACTGTTCTGTTGCTCTCACTGACTCTAGAACATCTGAAGGCAGCAGCTCAAGTTCCAAGCACACGCTTCAGATTCAAGGTAAGTCTCTCTAACTTTGCATATTTTCATTTAGAGCATCCTTAAATATGTAAATATCATAGTATCGATGCTGGCCATATCATTGCATAAGTAAAAAAACTATAGATCAGAACTTTTGAATAAAGCTAGGCTCAGATTTAGGATTAGAACTTCTATAAACTGTTGTGCTTTTATCCTTCTGATTTTATATTTGTTAAGAACTGAATAAATTTCTGATGTGCTGATTTATATGAGGAAAGAGTTGAAATGTGGCACAGAACCTCTGATTTTCATTCACTATTTTAGCACAACACCGAACTTCTGAGTTCTCCTTACTGTTAAACACAATGAACTTCTGATGTTTCCACTCACTATTTTAACACGCAAAACTTCTGAGTTCTCCTTACTGTTAAACACACTGAACTTCTGATCTTTTGCTCTCAACAGCATGCTAATTCTATCTCTCATTATTTTCCTTTTTATCATTTTCAATATTAATACTCTTTTATTAATATAAAAAAGACATGAAAATATTTTCTTTTTATTAATTAATTTATTTCTTTTTCTTAATTTATTAAGGCAAAAAAAAAACCACTTTCAAAACAAGTCCTTTTACATGCTTCTCTGGCTCCCAGGTCGAAAGCATCAATGTCTTCCCGATTACTCGGTAAACAAATACTACATTCAAAGGGGCTTCCACTGAGTGGGGGATTTCATGCCTCCTTCATCAGGATTACTCCCTCAAAGTTAACATGACTATACCGCCCGTCCTATTCCTAAGTGTAACTTAGTCCGGGTATAAGACTTGTCCTTTGTAAATATCATCAACACCCAAATAACCACAATGTATAACATATAATCAAACAAACAAAATAATAAAAACAAATACGACAAATTAGGCTTAACCCACTTAGGGATGGACCAGGAAGAGGTCAAGCTTTCCCCAGAAGAGTCGCCAATTCTGTAGTGATAAAAAATGTAGCGGGGTAAATCAGATATTGAGTTATTAATTAACTCAACTCACAAAAGCAAGAGTCGCCGCCGTGCTTTATTATTTCCAAGGGAAAAGGGAAAAGAGCAAAATAAAACCCTTAAATATGCAATATAAAGTAATACTTAAAAGTAATGAAAATACAATGCGTTATTGAAAGAGATCTAGAGTTTAGGGGTTGGTTATACAATGAGAAGGTAATATCACCGAATGCATCTACGGTACTCCACAGGAACGTTTAGAAATATCAGTTTTTTGGTTAAAAATTGTTTGTTTGTTTAAAATGATTTGTTTGGTCAAAAGGGGTGTGAATGAGATTTTGAAGATACGTCGACCTAGTGTCGATGTTTTGGCTTAAAAGGTGTGAGTTTTAAAATTGAGTCTTTTAGGAAAATTAACTTAAGGTTAACAAAATAGTAAAACAAAAATGAATGAGGAGATTCGCACAATCATATAAGATGTATTTGATGACATGAAGTCAACAAAGTTAAAACATTTTCTTTGGAATGAGATAGACGAAAGATATAAAGATTAAAAGATCGAGAATAAAGTTAATTAATATGACAATTGAATAATCAAAAAACAAAAATTGAATTATACTAGCATGCATTTTCGAACAAAAATTAAATAAAAGATTAGTTTATAAGCATGTACTTAAATAAACAAAAATTAAATAAAAGATAATTTATTAGAATGTATTTGAATAATTAAATAAATAGAAAAAATTAAATAAAGACTATATATATATATATATATATATATATATATATATATATATATATATATATAAACAATAAACTAAGTTAATATTTGTTATAGAATAAAATATGGGGAGATAATACTAAAAGAACTAAAATATAAGATAAAATGCCCCAACATGGGTTGAATTCGGGTCTCCTTTGTTATTGCAAACATGGCTTGCCAACTGAACTATATTGTTTATCTTATATTACTATGTGTTAATTAATATAAAAAGGGAGTAAGATAAAATGATTGGGCCAAGAGGCCCAATGGGGCTGACCCGGTTTAGAGGATAGAAACAAGGAAAATATTTGAATCCTAAAGAGAGAAAGGTGTCGTTAGCTGTAGCATTGGGAAGGAAAATGTTCAAATTTAATTATTATTGCTGTTAGCTCTTATCTCTATGCTGTACCGTAGAAACAAAAATAATAACACTCTCTCTCCCTACTCAAATCTTTAACCCTCTATCACTTCATCTGCTCCGCGATAATAAGAACTAGTCACTGCTCTCTACCTTTCTTGATCAGCAGTATCGCTTATTTGAGCCTTAACAGTTTTATTATCAACAATAAGAGTTTTAGTCTGAAACTCAACACCGATGGTAGCTTTAGAATCCACGTTTAATTGATTTCTCAAAAAAACCGAGCAAGAAGCTGCATTTTTCCGATGATGAAGTCTCCGATCAACAACACTTTGAAAACATAATCGATCTTCTGGTTATAATCGTCGTACAAATTCGACATCCTATAATTGAAATTCAACGCTAAAAAAGTTGAATTTTCGATCATGGAGGTGGTGAACCCATTTTGATCATGAATGATTGGAATTTTGAAATGGATTAGGGTTGAGGTTTGGGATTAGACGACGGTGTTTGGTGGTGTACGGGTCAAGGTGCAGTTTCATTGCTGTTGTTGATCGTTGTTGCGAATGGATGATAGAGGTTAGATGGGAAGAGGTATGGCAAGCAGTGGTGATTTGAGGTTTGGAAGAGGTAAGTTAAAGTCTTCTTTTTTTGCGAAATTTTGTCTCTCACGCTCTTTATTTCCAGGCTGAGCTTTTTCTTTCTTTTTCAGAAATAGACACCTCAAGTGGCTTCACATCAGGTCTATGCTTTTTCCCTAACTCCTCTTCAGATTCATCATCAGAGAAGGGAGGAAAATCAATACCATCAGTGTATGTAGAAGCTTTTGGAGCATGTGAGAGAATGGTTATTTTGCTGAGAGGAACAATCAGTGATGATGGCAGTGAAAAGATAGATGTTAGGAGATTGAACATGGTTGAAGATTTGATGAGCATAATGAATATTTGAGAGACTGATGGAAGAAAAATGAAGGAGCTTGAAAGCATAGAAAAGGGTTTGGGAATGACCAAGTGTGATTAAGTGAGATTAAAGTTGTTTCAAATGGTTTAGGTGATTGATTTTGTTTAAAATTATTGATACGAAATCGTTTAGGTTTTGTTTCATTTGATTGATTATTTATCTTGTTTCGCTTATTCCTCTTGCATTGTTTTTTTTTAATTTACAGGATTGTGGGAACGAAAAGAATGGAAGTATTGTGCTGCAAGTGTTATGGACAAAAAAAATTATCTGCAGGTTAACAATACATTTACAAATGTGTGTACGATTTAATTACCTTGTATGCTGATTATCTTATATTTGTTTTATTTAACTGAGTTGGAAATTATTGATTTATGATATTCTTGTGGTTTCATTCTGAATGAATTAATTCAACAAGTTTTCTGGTTATGTTGGACATTATTCAAGGGCTAGTTGAATTGCATGTTCTATGTGCACACTGTGAGCTGTTTTTATTCTATAAGGTAGAAGGTTTTGGATAAACATATAATTTCTCTAATTTCTAATGTTTCTAATATTTTAAACTCTGGTTTTTTCTTGTGTTTATTATTATATAACATGTTTAAATGCTAACAAAATGCAGCAACTTAAAGATACCGCAGAATGACAAATCAAGTGATCATATGGCATAAAAGTGGTGCAAAGAAATTAAAATACGTGAATGAGAAAGTTATGCAGAATTAAATAGGGAAGAAGAAATACATATCAGAGTCTCTCTGATGGAGCTTCAAAAATAGTAAGTTCTCCCTCCCTCTCTTGTTGATGCTCAAACTTCTGTAGCTCTAGTTCTTGCTGTGATGCTTGAACAAAAAAAAACTCTTTTTTTGTTTTTTTATCTTGCTGAGTTTTTCCTCCCTTCCTTGAACTATTCTGTGTGTGTTCTCCCTCTCCTCAGTTTTTTATGTGTAGTTTTCTGTCCACGAAGAGGGGTTTTATAGAGAAATAACAAGGCGTTTAGGGGGGAAAAAATAGGATATTTGAACTGTTTTGACAAACTGTTTTGATTCCTTCTTCATGCAGCTTTTCTTTAGCCATATTGATGCAATTCCTTGGATGTTATGATGCAGTGCAGCATTTGGACCATTGCAGGTTGGTGTTTTTTTGAACTGATTTGCTGCATTTTTATAACAATTTTGGGACTGTTTTGTAGGCTGTTTTTACAACAGATTTTTGGGTTGTTTTGCTTGCTGTCTTGGACAGTTACTACTACTGTTTTGGACAACAAAATACAACAAAAATTGGACTTTTATTTGTTGAAACAAGGCTTGAAAAATATGGGCAGCATTGCAACATGATATTGAGCTGGAATTTTAGGCATTAGAAATAATAGTTTGTACAAGCTTGTAATTCCTTATAACTTTGTAGTGATCAATCCAAATAAAATTGTAACATGAATGGAAACTTGTCTTCAATATAATTCTCTCAATTCTTTTGTAAACACTTTGAATCTTTATTCATCTTGATGAAATTCAAAATCTTCCACTTGAATTTGGAAAAGAATTGATTGATATTTGAATAAGTTGTTGAATGATGAATAAACAATAATGTGAGCCTTAAGACTTCAATCTTGAATTTTGTAATAGAGATCCAAATAAATTTCATGAATTGATCTTGTAATAAAATTGTAACCATCATGTACTTATTCTTGTGATGAATGATCATTTGAATCAAGTTTCTTTTTCCAACATCTTCTTTAATACATGCTTCATGTGAATTCAAATGGCCATGGTGGGAATCCATCAAAAATAATCACACAAAAATAATTCTTGAATAAATATTAATGAGATGAACGATTATTTATGAATGAGCCCCTTTTGATAACCTCTATTTAATTAACACTTGAATTCACATGATGAAAATTCCAAGTATTCCAAATAAATTCTTCCGAAGCGAACTTGAATTTAATCACCCACTCTAAGGAAAATTCATCCCGCGTCATGTAAGTATAAGAAATTGAACCATGCTTAAAAGCTTTAAATGATCACTAGAAAGGGAATTTGAGGAAAAATGTTATCGCATTGAGAAATTGCCATAGTGAACTGAAATTAGAGATCCAAAAACTCTTAAATCATGACAAACGTCCCATAAAGTCCCATCATGGCTTTATCAATACAATTCGTCTTCAACTTTTAAAGAAATCTTGCAGATGACTTTTGTTCAAAATGTTTGGAATTGACTCACATAGCCTGATCTTTTTTGTATTTCAAGGTAAGGTGAAACACACGTGAACCAATGGTCATGGAACCTTGATTGTTTCTTTGAGGAAGTTTCAAAAACTCTTGAGACCACTTGTTGAGACAAAGTGTGGAAATAAACACACGATTCTATGAAAGTTCCTTTGATGAATCAGTCTTTGAGAATCAACGATCCATCGTACTTCTGGCTTTAGAGACTCCAAACCCTAATTGAGGAGTGACGTCTGATGCTCTTGATTTAGACATGTTTCTGCATATGAAATCAAAGAAATAACAAAAAAACATACACTTCGTGCTTGATTTGAAGTTAGTCATGCATAAGATGAAATGTTAACAACACTCGATAATCTCTGCACAAGTAATGTTCGAAGGTGAAACGTTCGAAACCGACCATATTTCTTGGCCTTGATGTATATAACAAAAATGCAAATGAAGATGGGATCTTAGGTCAAAAATTGGGGTATGAAAGTCTGGTATCCCATTCTCCCTTAATCTGACTGATTACCAGGGCTGAGTCCCCATATACATTCAAGAACTTGATTCTCATATCAATAGCATCTTTGATACCCATGATGCACGCTTCGTATTCGGCCATGTTGTTGGTACAATCAAAACATAATCTTGTGGTGAAGGGCGTCTGGAAACCCATGGAAGAGATAATCACAACACTAATTTCATTGCCAAACGCGTTGGAAGCTTTGCCAAAAATCATAGTCCATCGGGATCCTGGCCCAAGTACTTCATATGGTCCAGGTTTTTCACAATATGTAACTAGCATAATGTTCTCATCTGGGAACTCGAAATTCAGAGATTGGTAGTCGTCTACAGCTTGATGAGCCAAACGATTTGCCAATACACTTCCTTTTATTGCCTTCTGAGTGGTGTACTGAATGTAGTATTCTGTTAAGACCATTTTCCATCAGGATATTCTTCCAGAGAGAGCGGGCTTCTCGAATATATACTTTTTTGGATCCATTTTAGAGATTACCAAATTGGTATGAGTTAACATATATTGTCTTAGTCTGCGATTAGCCCATGCCAAAGCGCAATAAGTTTTCTCGAGCAGTGAGTATCTTGTTTCACAGTCGATAAACTTTTTGCTAAGGTAGTATACTGCATGCTCTTTTTGACCAGACTCGTCATGTTGCCCCAGTACACACCCCATTGAATTCTCTAATACTGTTAGGTACATGATCAGAGGTCTTCCTTCAACTGGTAGCATCAGAATCAGAGGTTCCTAGAGGTACTCCTTGATTTTATCAAAGGCTATCTAACAAGCATCGTTCCACTTCACTACCTAATCTTTCTTCAGCAACTTGAAGATCGACTCATAAGTAGTGGTCAAATGAGAAATAAATATGGCAATATAGTTCAGTCATCCCAAGAAACCTATGACTTCCTTCTCAGTACAGGGAGCTGGAATTTCTTTAATGGCTTTGACCTTGGTAGGATCAACTTTAATACCTTTACCACTGATAATGAAACCTAGGAGTTTACCGGATCTTACCCCAAAAGTGCACTTGTTCAGATTCAACCTCAGCTTGTACTTATTCAGTCCCTCAAATAGCTTGTGTAGGTGGTCAAGATATTCTTCTTCAGTCTGAGACATGGCTATCATGTCTTCTACATAGACCTCTATCTCGCGATGAATCATGTCATGGAACAAAGCTACCATGGCACGCTTATATGTTGCGCCGACATTATTCAAACCAAAAGGCATGACTTTGTAATAAAAAGTGCCCCACTATGTAACAAAGGTATTTTTCTCCATGTCTTCATGTGCCATCTTGATATGATTATAACCCGAGAAACCATCCATGAAGGAGAATACTTTATGCTAAGCGGTGTTGTCAATAAGAAGATCAATATGTGGAAGTGAAAAGTCATCCTTGGGGTTTGCCTTACTCAGATCCCTATAGTCTACACACATACGCACTTTACCATCTTTCTTTGGTATCAGAACCACATTTGCAACACACTGAGGATAGGATGTAGCAGTTAAGAAACCTACGTTGAATTCCCTCATAACCTCATCCTTGATCTTCTCGGACATCTCGGGATGCATACGACGAACCTTCTGCTTTATTAGAGAACAATCCTCTTTCATTGGTAGACAGTGAACCATAATATCAGTATCGAGCCCTAGAATATCTTCGTATTACCAAGAAAAGATCTCAACATAATCATGCAACATCTGGATTAATATGTTCTTGACACTGTCCTCTAGGTTGGAACCTATCTTGACTTCTTTCCTGTCTGCTTCAGTACCCAAGTTTACAACCTCAATCGGCTCTTCATGCGGTTGTATAGCCTTTTCATCTTGCACTAATAGTCTGGAAAGTTCTCCGCGTATTTCACAGTCTTCCTCACCTTCGTCCTCGGCTTGGTAGATCGGACTTTTAAAGTCATAAGTGGAAATATCAGATTTGTTATCAACGGGATCTAGAGTGGATCTGGATCTACAATTTGTTGTGTGGGTGTGTGTAAGAACACATAGCTATTTTAAAAATGATAAAATAAAGAGCACCAAATTTGAATGTAAAAAGTCCAATGATTTATTAAATGAAAATATGCTTATGAAGTGACAACCTTTAACAAATGGACTGTTGTGCCTTGGGTAGGACACAAGGCTTAAAGTCATTGTTCAAAAATTACATAAGCAAAACATGAAAACAAAAAGAAACAGAAAATAGCATTTACTCATGTCTAAAGGAGATTGAGATAAGGTCTTCAGCCTCCCAGTTGATGAGCCTGTTGCTGGTGGTGGGAAAAATTCAGATGTCTAGATCGTAGTCATTATCAGCATCTTCTACCGCGTTGACTACGTTGTTGCTGACGCAGAATGATGGTCTTCCAGCGCGAGCATGACAAACATTCCTCTGAGCCTCTACAATAAAGCCCAAACCAAAATTTTCAGATTTGTACGGAATGTCAGGAAGTTGACCACAAGTAGTGCAACCACCTTCTTCCACTACAACTCTAGCATCCTTCAAAGAAGCCATTCTGGGTGGAACCCTGGTAACCTTGGGAATAATAGAAACTTCTTCAGTAGCAGTAGGAGGGATAACTTCAAAAGCCTAGAAGGGAGTCTCGATGAATTCGCCTTCACTATGCCAAACAAGCACATAGATAGTGCTTTCTTTGGCCATAAACAATGCTTATAAGCGTTGCCTATTCCCGCGCTGCTGTAACCATAGGCAGTGCTTTTAGTCTATGTGAAAGTGCTGCTTAATATAGACCTTAGACATCGCTTTATTGAATAAGAACTTTCTAAAGGCCCCTATAGGCAGCGCTTTTAACAATGTAAGCGCTTTCTATAGGGTGCCTATAGCAGTGCTTTCACTTTAGACAACGCTTCCTCAAGCGCTGTCTAAAGTAAAAGCGCTGCTATAGGCACACTATAGAAAAAGCATTGTCTAATGTATTTTCTTATTTTTATTTTTTATATTTTAGGCGGCGCTTTATTTTGAAGTGCTATCTAAAGTCCCCTTTTAGACAGCGCTTTTTACAAGCGCTTTCTATTCCCCATAATAGGGAGTGCTTTTTGGTTTAAAGCGCTGTCTAATGTTCACGATTTTTTAATATATTCAGCTTATATTTTAAGCACCCTGTACATATAATCACTTAAAATTTAAGCGTTGCCTTTCAAATTTGAACCAGATTTTATAAATTTGAAGCTTCAATCCAATAAATATGCACCAAATTTACATATTTATATATACAACTTTAATCCAACAATTTATATATACATAAATACAACTTAAAGAATTCAATAATTTATATATACATAAATTTAAATATTTACATATACAGCTTTATAAACAAATAAATATGCACCAAATGTACATATTGTTATCTTCTAAAGCTGTTATATTCTCTACTATCTTCTCTACAAACAACAATGAAGAATCCTAAATGAATCTATATATCTTCTACATATACACCTATCTGAAACAAAACCAACAAAGGCATATATATATATATATATATATATATATATATATATATATATATATATATATATATATATATATATATATATATATATATATATATATATATATATATATATATATATATATATATATATATATATATATATATATATATGAACCAAGCTATATAT